TAACAACTCAGATTAAATTAAGTTTGCCAATTTTTTGTGACCGACGCCAAATAAGAGAAGCGATTCACAGCCCGATTTACGCTTGTAGGACCATCATTTGACTTCATTGCGACTACATTTGGGTACATTTGGGTAATTACTCGCTCCCTCGGTACATGCACGCGATCTATTAACTCGGATTAAAGTAAGTTTTCCATTTTTTTTTACTATGTGTGACAAAATACTAGTCGAGAAGTGATTGGCAATCCAATTTATTCATGTAGGACCATTATTTGACTTAATTGCGGCTACATTTGGGTAATTAGTCGAACCGGTAACCTGGGGTTAGGGTCATCTCGCACCCAAGACTGGAAACCTTGGATGCTAGAACAGTGGGTTTAGAAGGGAAAGTAGATTCTGGCAGGGCAACAGGAAGTGCCACTGAAGTGAAGCAGGAAGACAACACAGGGAAACCAGAGCCTGTTGGTGAACTTATAAGAGGAACTAAATGAGAGAAAGAAGAGGGAAAACAACATAGTGGTATATGGTGTGCCAGAATCTGGATCCCCAACAATGAGCGAAAGGATTGAGTGATAAATCTTATGCACTGAACCTAATAAAAGAATGTGGCATCACTAGTGGCCAGGAGATAATAGTTAAAGTGATTAGGCTGGGTAAATTTATCCAGGGAAAAGCTAGACCTATGCTAGTCAAGTTATCTACTGCAGATATAAAGGCCAACCTATTTAGAAACATCAGGAACCTGCAAGGTAATATGAAATTCCAAGACATAAGAATAGCCAATGACTTAACTAAAAGGGAGAGAGAAAATGAAGCTGTTTTATGGCAGGAGGCAAAAAACTTGATGGACTCCGGGAAGGGGAGAGACAGAGTGGTGGGTCCTCCGTGGAGGCGAAGAGTCGTCAAAATAGGGGTCCAAGAGAAGTAGTGAGGCTCAAAGAGGAGAAACATGTACATACCAGTAGTGTAAATAGTGTAAGGAAACTGATTAAATAGGAAAAAACAAGAACATAATGTTAATGTAGGTAAATTTCTTTTATGTTTAATAATGTGGATGTGTTGAGTTCAGACAAGTTAATAGAGTTAAATGCACAGTTGAAGGAGAAGGAAAATACTCCGCAAGTAATAGCCCTACAGGAGGTACAGCCAAAACACTATAGATATGAACAGATTACAGCAGAATATAACATCGAAGGTTCTGACATTATAAAGCAAAATCTCCTTAATAAGGAAGGGAGATATAATATATATTAGGAAAGGAACCAAATTTTAAAGTGTTGAACTTGATACTAAGTTTTGTGAATATTGCTGTATAGAAGTGCCATGTAGAAGTGGTAATTTACTATTTACCTCCATTTACAGAAGCCCTAATAGTGATGAAAGCAATAATATTAATTTGCTCCAACTTATGCAGGAAGTCAATGATAAAAATGTGCTTTATAAAATAATTGTAGGTGATTTTAATCTTCCACAAATAAATTGGAGTAATTATACTTCTGTAATGGGACTGAATGATGTTGGTACCATGTTCATCGAGAAAGTACGGGACTGCTTTCTCACTCAACATATAGAGGAAATCACCAGGATAAGCGGAGACAGCACAGGCAATACCCTTGACCTGTTGTTCAGTAACGAAGAATCTATAGTAGGAGATATCAAGCTGGAGAGTCCACTGGGAAAGAGTGACCATGCCTGTATTTATTTCCATTGTGACATACAGGAGATGGAAGACGAACGTAAAAAACAAGTGTACATGTATGAAAAAGCAGATTACCGACTGATGAAGCAAAGGCTTACGATGGAGTGGATCCAATACTTATCATTGGAACCAGATATTGGAAGAAAGTGGAATAAGTTCAAAGGAAAATTCCAGGCAGTCATTGACAGGTGTGTCCCTAAGAAGATAATCAGAGGACTGAGGGTTAGCAGAAAAGAACAAATGAAAAATTACCTATGAACAGGAAGCTCTGGGCTAAAGTGAAGAAAAAACAGAGACTGTGGGAGACTGAAAATAATGAAAACGAAGTTCAATGAAAGAGCATGCACAAGGGAAATGTATCTGGAAACTGAAAAGGAATACAGGAGATTAAATAACAAGGTCAGATGGGAAACTAGAAACATCTTGAAACGCAAAGAACAAGAGATTGCGAAAAATGTTAAGGCAAATCCAAAAGTGTTCTGGAAGTATGTACAGACAAAAACAAGAACAAAAGCTAGAATTACAGATCTTTACAAGGATGAGGAAAAGTACAGAAGACTATGAATGATCAGACTGTGAATGATCAAGAAAAGGCAGATGTACTTTGAGCAATTTTCACGAGTTTTAATTAAGGAACCAGATAGGGGGATACCAACAGCCAACAAGAAAGAAGTGCCAGCTCTTGAACACCTGGAGATAACCGAGGGCAAAATAAGAATGGCGATTCAAAAATTGAAGAGACATAAGTCTCCCGGTCCAGATGGGTTACATCCAAGAGTCATTAAGGAGATGATGGAGGAACTACTTTAGCCTCTGAGGATCTTGTTTGAAAGCTCTTTTCAAGAAGGAAATATACCCGAGGACTGGCGTATTGCATATATCTCAGCTATCTATAAGAAGGGAAGTAAAAGTGAACCAGGAAACTACAGGCCAGTCAGTCTAACTAGTGTAATCTGCAAATTAATGGAGTCAATATTATGGGAAGAGATGATATCCCATATGAAAAAATATGGACTGTTTAGTAATAAACAGTTTGGCTTCATTTCCGGCAGGTCAACAGTCCTACAGTTGTTAGGGTACTAGACAGGCGGACGGAAATTATCGACGAGTCAGGCTGTGGACATAGTGTATTGTGACTTCATGAAGGCTTTTGATAGAATACCCCACAAAAGACTATTAGAAAAAGTATCTAGTTATCGCACTGATGGAAAATATCTTGATTGGGTAAGGAATTTTTTTTAAGTAAGAGAAAACAGAGGGTTGTGGTAAATGGAGAAGTATCTGACTGGAGAGTGGTCACTAGTGGGGTCCCTCAGGGTTCTGTCCTCGGCCCCCTGCGGTTTGTCCTTTTTATCAATGACCTGCCTAAAGCAATTTAACACGACAGTGAGGTATATCTATATGCGGATGACACAAAGATTTTTAGGAAAATAGAACGAGATGAGGATTGTGACATGCTGCAGGAGGACCTGGATGGGATCAGGGGTTGGACTGAGAAGTGGATGCTGAACTTTCACCCAGAAAATAGTAAATACATGAGGATAGGAAGAACAAAAGTTGCTGACCATTTATATCATATGTACACCACGATCAAGAAGACCACTGTAGAGAAGGATATAGGGGTAGTCATCGATGATAAGCCGACGTTTTCTGACCATCTAGCTGAGAAAATCAACAAGGCTAATAAAATAGTGGGCATTATTAGAAGAACTTTTGTTCATCTGGATGCACCTATATTCAAGGCTCTGTACACTGCTCTGGTTAGGCCACACCTTGAGTATGCTAATCAAATTTGGTGCCCATATCACATTAAGGATATTGAAGCAGTAGAGCATGTACAGAGGAGGGCTACCAAATTAGTACCACAGATCAAGGATTTATCTTATGAGGAAAGACTAAGGGAATTACAGTTACCGACACTGGCGTACAGAAGATCTCGTGGGGACCAAGTGGAAACATACAAGATAGTGTGTGGCATTTATGACCAGGCATGTACAGCAGTCGTTCCAGATGAGGGAGGCTGACACTACCCGGTGGAACTCAAAGAAGATCTACAAAACAAGAGCGAGGCTAAATCTCAGAAGACACTCGTTCACGAGTAGGGTTGTCAACAACTGGAATAGTTTACCTGAGTGGGTAGTGAATGTGGGGACGGTGGAAAAGTTTGAAGCAAAATTAGATAGATACTGGAAAAATCAACAAGTATATAATTTTAGGGCACAATTATCCGCCACACACAGCCACCGTCTGAGTAGAGAAGAGGCTATTGAGCTGGAGTCACAGGCGTGAGCCTCTTCCAGAAGATCACCTGTGAGTACCCAAAAAGTCGACTCGTACCCAAGATAACTTGCACCCAATTAAATTGAAAATGTACCTGAACGCGCTCTAGTGTTGGTCAAGTCACAACACTTTATGGTAGATTGTTCCAGAGTTTACAACCCTCACTCCGAAAAAGTTTGCCCTGCACACTTTAAACAACTAATATTGTTGGTAATTTTATCGGTTAAATACTAAAAACATATAAATTTCCGACGGAAAAATGATGAAGTTTTTAAATTGTTATTACTACATTTTTTTAACGGGATTAGCCCACCAGGGCACATATCAGGGACGAGGGCGAAAATATGGCGTAATAGTAATAAAAAAGGAAAAAATTTGTGGGACAGTTACGAGGAATAAAACCTATTATAGATTATTTAAGGTTTCATTTTTTTTAAACCCCGTATTTTCCTTCTACTGTTGAGAGCCTTGCCTACTTTGAACAACTACGTTAGTATGGTTGGTATGTGGGGGGGGGTCATATTTATTTAAATGCTGGAAAATTTTAATTTTCCGACGGAATTGTTAGAAATTATTTTTAATTTTGGTATTTATTTTAATGTTCGCATTTTAACATTATAACTATTTCTCTGGTGCATTTATGGGTTTTCTTTAAACATGACATTCATTTCCTTGGGAAATTTGTAGATTTCAAGGAAATGACTATCCGGTAATTATTGACTAAACCGCCTGCGCGCATAACTCCAATATGTCAAGGGTTCGATGCTCGGCCCGGACACACGTGTGAAAGGCGTTATCCAGTGTGACCCTCACTACCAACCACCACAGGATTTCCCAGTTTCCCCCTGTACTAACACTGGATAATCCGCCCGAACGGCGAGTACTGTAAGCCAAGTGGCGAAAATTATATTAGGAAAAAAAAACGCGAGCCTTAAATGTATGCACACATCTGTGAACTATGAAAACACCAGACACTATTGTAATTATTTTAGATAACTTAGTTTACAGAAAATAAACTTACTTCTTTCTCTATGTTGCTGGTTAAGTCAACTCGCGATCAAGATGAAAGTTAGTAGTGGTTGGATGCAGGTCGACACTACAATGTTTGTCCCTTGAGCAGCAGCTACACGTCTTGACGCGGGAGCGGCAGGAGGACCAATAACTACGGTGAGCGCCGAGCGTTCCCAGACCAGCGGGAGTGCGACACAAAACTCACTCCAGTCAGACACAGCGTTGGTGCTGACCAATCATAACGTTAAGAAAATTTAGCCGACCAATGAGAAAGAATTATCACCCAATTGTGGGACGGAACAATGACGTCTCGAATACCCCTACTGACGCTGGGGGCTGTGTGGAAAGTGGACGTGTATTGGTCTTGTGCTCAAACAAATCAAGGGGTTGATAGACAAAGCATAGTAATATAAGTTGTAAGGTGAGGTTTCAAATGCTTTAGGAAATAATACCTCGCACTTGTCAAGCACTTCCCCATTACCTGTCAAGCACTACCCCCATACCTGTCAAGCACTACCCCCCTGTCAAGCACTACCCCCATACCTGTCAAGCACTACCCCCATACCTGTCAAGTCAAGCACTACCCCCATACCTTTCAAACACTACCTCATTTCCTGTCAAACACTACCTCATTACCTGTCAAGCACTACCCTCATTACCTGTCAAGCACTACCCCCATCACCCCCATACCTGTCAAACACCCCATTACACTACCTGTCAAGCACTACCCCATTACCTGTCAAGCACTACCCCATACCTGTCAAACACCTGTCACACTATACCTGTCAAGCACCCCCATTGTCAAACTACCCCATTTCTGTCAACTACCTACCTGTCAAACACTACCCCATACCCCCCATCCTGTCATACCCCATACCTGTCAAACACTACCCCAACACCCCATACCTGTCAAGCACTACCCCATGCCTGTCAAGCACTACACTATACCCCCATACCTGTCAAGCACTACCCCCCGCCTGTCATAAGCCCCATACCTGTCAAGCCCCTGTCAAACTACAATACCCCCATACCTGTCAAGCACTACCCCCATACCTGTCAAACACTACCCCCATACCTGTCAAGCACTACCCCCATACCTGTCAAGCACTACCCCCATACCTGTCAAGCACTACCCCCTCAGTAGTGTATTGTAGAAATAATACACCAGTTTTAAATGCGTTATACTTCAATGTCTGTGTATTATGTACACCTGCCCTATTAAATACTGCCGTGTGACTTAAGGACGGTGTTTATACATTGTATTTGCAGTGTCTGTATATCGTATACCTGTACAGTGTATGTATATACTGAATCAATGTGTATATGTATGACTACTGAATTATGTATCTTTCTGCTACCTGTATATCATTGAACCAATAAGGGATGAAGCATGGTGCAAGACTCCATGGCCCAGCTCCCACTCCCGCTCGTTGACGTGGTAGGAAATGTCATCGATTTGCCGCTTGGAATTTTTCTATGAAAATTCGTATAAATTGGTAATGAAAAATCAATCTTTTAATGATGATGATTTTGGTAATGAACATTGTTAAATTTGGTGCTGGGCAAGTCTGGTGAATGCACTTAAGTAAAACGAAGCCATACATGCCCGCTGCAGTTTCCTCCATTCTTATGAGGTTGAATATACTATAAAAAAATAGAAACATTTTAAGAATAATTACCACACGCATCACGATATAGAACTGTGTATTAAATAAAAAATAATGATAATTTGTTTTTCCTCGCCATAGTGTACGTTTTTATAACATCAATAAAATGTGGTAATGAAACATTCTATTGGGTTTTTTTTTGTAATGAATTTCGACTCAGACGGTAATGGTTGTAAAATCAGGGTTGGCAGACCTGTGGCAACGGGAAGCGTGGGTGACAATGTAGATGCTGAACCTGTACTGTACGGGGCGAAACTACAGTTGATACCGTCTGTGACGCAACTGTAACGTTCAGGTGTTTGTCAGAAATGTGTCTGTATACATTACGTATCTACACTGTATATACGATGTATATTTGGACGTATAAAGTTGCATACTTGCACTTACTATATACATTGTATACACGCACTCACACACACACTTATATATATATATATATATATATATATATATATATATATATATATATATATATATATATATATATATATATAGTCTTTATACAATGCATACCTGTAGTCTATATTGTATACCTGCATATATACAATATACATTGAATACTATATATATATATATATATATATATATATATATATATATATATATATATATATATATATATATATATATATATATATATATATATATATTGTATACCTGCAAACATATACATATTGTATTCTTACATGCATATAACAAGCTGCATACATTGCATAAATGAGAACTTGTATGACGATTTAACTGGATACGTTTCTGTTATAAAACCAAAGGTGTTGCCAACCTCCCCGCCCCATAACAATGCCCCCGCGTCCTGCGGGGGTGAAGGTGCTGGACCTGTATACAACGTAAGTGTTGGTGGTGCAACTGTACTTTCTTTAGTGTTTGTACCTTAAAGATTGTGCCTTGTTGGTTGATGCTGCAGCCACTGATAAGAACAAACTTATGCTACGGCACAAGATGAATCGAGTTTTTGTTCAGTAAAATCGAAATACAAGTTCGAAAAATGTTTAGGTTTAGGGGTGTTTGTAGTACCAAAGTATTATTGAGTGCAATCCCTGGCAGGGACAGTCGTGAACAAGGGGTCATCCATCCAGTGTAAATTATACTGGCCTCAGGCCCCCCGACTCTAAGGGGCCCCCAAATCCAAACATTCCCGAAGTTGAAGCATATAAAACATGAACTTCGTTCAACGATGTCCTAGCAACGTCTCAATTTTCTGTCTCTTATGAACATTGAATGTGTTATTTTGCAGAAGTTTAATAGTGATGAAATCATTGATAAATTTTGGTATATTTTGTTCTTGCCTCAGGCCCCTATTAAGCTTAATTCCGGCCCCGAGTGTAATCCTACAAGACACCAACGGATTAATATTAGGGATTTATGTGAGTCCTGAGAGGGACATTCCTGGACTGGGGTGAGGATGACTTATGTCACTTCATCCCTTTGAGATGTATTAATGTTTTTTGTATCTCAATAAACGTATCAATCAATCAACCAACGGATTCTGGGTACTCTTGTTTTATTACTCGACCCGGTGAAGGTCCTAAACAAAGAACAGACAAATCGATCGAACGGCTAATATGCTGACAGTGGTGAAATGATGAATAAATAAAATAGAATTAAGTTCATAATGTTTGAGCACGTAATACGTACAGTGCGAGTGTAGCTGTACAATGTACACAGACCTAGGGTTGCCATACGTCCGTATTTTCCCGGACATGTCCTCCATTTAGGTCTCGAAATCTTCATCCGGAAGGAATTTTTGAAATTCTTCAAAATTCCGGAATTTCAGCTTCCATCATTTTCTCCACGGAAAAAAAAACCATGACACTGTAATGACGAGAGAGAGAGAGAGAGAGAGAGAGAGAGAGAGAGAGAGAGAGGGAGGGTGGAAACCGTAGAGGTCTCGTTCAGTTTTCGTCAGCTGGTAAGTAACTTGTACGCCTGTACGGTGTTGTCAACTTAGCTGTCAAATATTTGATTGATAAGGGGGTAGAAGTTGATGAAGTGTTTTGACCAAGTTAGTAACCTGAAGCAGTTTGTGGAAAATTACAAGAGTGATGAAGAATTTAGTAATCTGCCAGCACAAAAAGTGGACCAGATACTTTGAAAAATCAAACATTGAATGTCACTCAGAATTGCTAAGAATTGCACAATTCTTCTTTGCTATATCATCTCGCAATGCAAATGTAGAAAGTTTTTTCACTGATGCAAAGCCAATGGACAAAGGAAAGGAACAAATTGAGTGTTAAACAACGAAAGGCATTCTAACTGTACAGTACAACTTCCGAGAAACACCTTGCAGTAACTTCTATACCTTTCTAGAGAACAATCAGCCAATACTGAAAAAAGATCCGATCTACAGAAAAGTATGCGTGGGCACACCACACACAGTGGGGGGAGAAGACAGCAGCTAAGGGAATGAAGATGTTCAGCCTTAAGCAAAGGTAATTTTTTTTTAAAGATTTCTATACCATGTATGTTGTATATTAGCCTGTGTGTGCCGGGCGGGAGGGGGGGGGGATGTCCTCGGGAGCGTCCTCTTTTTTGAAAGTTCAGATATGGCAACCCTAGGTAGACAATGTTACAGAGTGCAGGTATACGGTATATTATTGTAGGCAATGCGGTGACCGGATAAAACCCCAACGGACAAAACCCCAGTCTCATTTATAAAATATAAAATAAAACACTTTTATGTTTAGGTTAGGTTAGGTTAGATTAGTGTTGATAAATGACAACCCCGTTGGGGTTTTGTCATGGAACCGGCAATGCAGGTGTAGTGTACATATGGCACAATGTACACGAAGAAACAGAACATATAGAATATACAGTACAGTATTTACAAGTGCAATATCCTCGAATTTTTCAATACGTTTTCTATAATTGCAATTTTCATATAAATATACTTTTACTTTTGATCTTTGCAAACTGACTAAATAATTATTCAGAAGACCTGGGGAGGCTGTTGTAATGTGAGGAGGAATGGCCAAAAGCCCCGGCAAAACGTATCGAACAGAATATCAATAATCCACACGTTGTCGTTCAGCGTCGTCCTCTCAAGGTCACTTACCCAAAGCACCAATCACGTGTCAGTGAGCAGCGATGACGACCAATAGAAACACAGTTTGTCGCCTCTGAGTAATAGTTTCTGGGCCGTCTCGAACATGAATGCTCAGGTTTCTGAATACGTACTGTACAGGTCTGGCCCGTCTCCTATTTACCACAGCCCGGGACCCCGTGTAGGACAAATCCCCTTAGAAGAAACTCCTAACCTAACTTTGAGAAACAAAAACAAAAAATAAAATAAAAAGAGAGGAACAGGGGAATCACCAGTAGTTTAAGCCAGGATTAAAGCCTGTACACTGGATCATATATGTAAATAAGGATTACTTACTGCAGCTTGTACCAACCTACCATAGTTATATATTTCCCTACCTCCCGTTATGTTTGGTTCTTTAGTCTTTGGAGATACAGCAATTGTACAAAAATAGCAATCCAATTTAACCCAAATAATTTATAACAATAATAATAATTATCATTATTATTATTATTATTATTAATATGAGCCATTTAATTATTAATAATCGGTTGATCTCTTTAATACTACGGTAACAACTTTTAAACTCATTCAAAGTCATTTAATTGAGAAAGTCAATTGAGAAAGTGTGACTCACTGGTCGACAGATTATGTCATTGTGTGGACGAGTTCGTTGTTTGATTAATGATCATTTAGAGTAGACGGCACTGTATATATCAATTTATTATATCAGACTACAGTAACTTGTCCCCTGTTATGCAGCGAAGAAAGATAGAGTGACGTGCTGACGATGGTGGGTCAAGAGATTTGTTTACTGAAACCAGAATTAAGATCCGGATTCAATAGTAGATGAACAACCACCCACAACACAGACCATATAGTATCCATCATAATATAGGTATATAACTATTTAATGATTAAATTATTTTTCCTTTTCCACGAATCAGGTTTAAATTCCTCTTATGTTTGTATCAGAGCTGCATAAGTTTCCCCTATGTTAATGTCATAAAAAAGTGGTTGATCACAATAGAATCAACTGGTCTTGTTATTTATTGCTAGGAAAAATTTAATTCCTTGACATAATCTTATTTTTCTTAATTCACATCTTAGATGATACTAATCTTAAAAGAAAATTTCTACGAAGTTTATGATTAAATGACGTTACTAAAACATAAACTACCTGATAATCGTAATGGAGCAACATAATATAGAAGGGTCAGCTGTGTATGACGACTAATGTTAAAGACTACCACAAATAGAACTGCAACACTATACTTTGTTTTTCCAAGAAGCAGATATCCCTAGACAAAATTAATGAAATAGTCGCTTGATATTTTTAATTTTGCTATAAGAAGTTTGGCTGATATATATCCCTTAAAAATAATAAATTGTGTAGCTGAAGCGTTCGTAGTATAGTTTTAACATTGGTACTGGTAGCTGGTGTTGGGCTTGAGGGTTGTGGCTGAGTGTGTGTAGGTGACAGGTATGATGATGGTACTTTATTGTTGTTATCTGATCAGTATGTGTAACATTTGAAATCATATTTACTGTATAATGAATTGTCGTGATATTGCGAGGTAGTAGATGTAACTAAAAGTCACTAGAAGCGTCTAATGGCTTTTATTAACTGGCTTGTTATTTGTGTATAACGTGAGCAGGAGACCGCTTATCTCAACAACTGGTCTCTAGGGGAGAGATGGTCTATACTTCTGTTGTATATTTCTTGTCCTGCAAGGTTGGCAGTACAGCTCAGCAAATTGTTCAGTTGAGCTGATCTTGCCAGGCCTGAGCAAAATGGCCAGTGTTAAGAAAATACTACTTAAGGGAACTTAAACCCTTTATGCAGTTGTCATGGTGCAGTTTAGGGTAACAGTGTACTTTCCTTGCATACCACAACAATTAATGAAAACTTAGTAATCTTAGAGAAAAGACTATATTAATCTACACCACGAAGATGCTGGAAAACCAGCCTTTCGAAGGATATTTTTGCGTTTACACACCGCACATTCCTACCACCAATCTATTATCATATTCTAATAACACGTCTAATTATAAGATAATTTTCATCTATTACATTACCGGTGGAAATGTATAATAACGGAGATAGCATATCCAAAATTTTCTCTATTTTCTTCCATTAATCGTCCTCCATTATCGCCTGCCTCACCTCCAACACTGCGTGTCTCCTGCGTCTCCTTCATAAATCATCACGCGCATGCGTTCCTGTACACGTCACGCGGCCAGTCAAAAGCGTTTTTGTTTTTACAACCAATTAAAATTATTTTGGGTTTAATTCGCGGTATATTTGGCCCAATCAAATTCTTGTTTTATTTTGGGTCTCATATTTCGAAATTTAAGTTCAGTTTCGACCATGGAAGTCTGCGATGGTGTCACTTAAATTATATGGAGCTGATTGCGAGTTTTTGGGAATAAAACGAAGAAATATAGCATTTTTTCGATTGCATGGTGTTCTTCCAACCTCAGTAAAGTGTACTAAGAGCAAGACTGAATGTAAATAAAGCAAAGACCAACATATGTGGCGTTGTGTAAGAATCTCAGAATCCAACGACGAACAAGAACCAGGCCAATAAGGTAAGAAATAGGTGATTCCATCATGTGGTGAGAGTCAGTTAGGTTAGGTTAGGTTTTGTTTTTGTTTTTCTAGTGTTTTTTGGCGTATTTTGCCATGATTTTTTTTTCGGAAAACGTCCAACGAAAAAAAATTTATAAAAAAAAACCTGGCTAATTTCCGCCAGAAATGAAGGTCATATTCGGTCTTAACACACACAAATACACTAGAAAAATATATTTTTTACTTTCTAACAGAGTGCGGTGTGACAGTGCAAATTTACCTTTTGAAGTGAGGCAGATTGTAAGAGTATGGAAAAACAGAAGAAGGCAGAGCATTCCACAGTCTGGCTGTGTGAGGAAAGAAGGGTGTACTATACCGGGTTATTCTAGTGTGACTTCCAAGAGTTCACAACTCACTCCGAAAAAGTTTGCCCTCACAGTTTTCTGGACTTGCGGCTTCTTCAATCTTGAGCTGTGACCCCTTGTGGGGCAAGCGTCCTCCAGCTCCAAGTAAGGACACTCGACTGAGTAGTGCCCCTTGAGATGCTTATACATCTCAATTAGGTCGCCCCTTGCCCGTCTGTAGTATAAGCTAGGCAAGTTCAGGCGATCCAATCTCTCAGGGTAATTGAGGTGCCGAAGTGCAGGCACCAGTCTGGTGGCCCTCCTTTGAACATTTTCAACCAACTGACAGTCCCTGGCATATCTCGGGGACCAGGTGGGGCGACAGTACTCCAGATGGGAAAGCACTTCACTCTTGAAGATCGTTACGAGGGACGGACTGTCTAGATATCTGAATGACCTTCATATAAGACCCAATAATTTATTTGTCAACATACACACTTAGGTCCTTCTCACATTCAGTCTCAAATAATATAGTTTCTTCATCCCGTTGGGACATATGATACGTCTCCTTACCGTTGGTACGTCCCAGGTGCATCCTCTTACACTTTGTGACATTGAATCTCAGCAGCCATATCTTCGAACATTTTTGGAGCTCACAGAGATCCTTCTGCAGCTCTTCACAGTCTTGATTTCTTGAAATAACTTGGCATCATCCGCAAACATTTGTATGGAGGAGTGTACAACATCAGGCATGTCATTTATGAAACAAACAAATGAGCCGACAGCCTTGCCAGAGGTACACAGGATACCAAATCCACCGAACATTGCTCATTAAAGTACCTGTAAAAGAGAGAGTGAAGCAACATTGCGGCAAAAAGAAAGGGAAGAGAGATTATCAACTAAAGGAGGAGAGTTAATAAGACGAAATAACTTTGATTCCACCCTATCTAACAGTTGGACAAAAGAAGAACCACCCCAGATATGAGAGCAGTACTCTTAAGTTAGGGTGAATGAATCCATTATAAACTTGAAGCAAGTGCTCAGGAGTGAAGTAGCTATGGCATCTGTACAGCATTCCCAACTTTCGGGAGGCAGCTTTAGCAATGTTGTGGATGTGTTGCTTCCTTGACATTTTAGAGGAAATGATGAGGCCTAGCTTATCTATTTTAGAATTTGGCAGAATGATTGCATTTTTAAATGTGATTGGTGGGAGATATTCTATTTTGGAAAGTGTAATTGGTAAATACTGTACTGTTTTATTATTATAGAATTTAACCAAGTTTCTGCCTCCCCATTTGGAGATGCTGCACAGATTTGCATTGATAGATGATATGATATCAGCTCTAGAATCAGTTCTAGTTTGAGAATTGGGGGAAGGAAAAATTTTTATAATGTGTGAAGAATAGAATCATCAGCGTAAGAATGGATAGAATTAGTTGTAGTGTGAAGTAAATCATTGATATAAAGAAGGAAGAGAGTAGGCAAAAGAAAAGAACCCTGTGGGACACCATTATTGGTAGAGAAAGAGTGAGAGGTCGATCCCTTGACAACAACTGCCATGGATCGGTTTTCAAGGAAGCTAGAAATTAGAAAACAAAGTGGGGGAGAGAAACCATAAGAGGGAAGTTTAGAAACAAAGACTTGTGCCACACCCTGTCAAATGCCACGAGGGCCACGACAAAAGTTTCCCCATAATCTTTAAAAGAGGATGACCAAAGATGGGTGGAGCAGGAGAGCAGATCACCAGTAGATCTCGCCTGGCGAAAGCCATACTGGTGATCCGACAAAAGAAAAAGGTGTTCAAAGTGATGGAGAAAATGAGAGTTTAAGATAGTTTCGAAAATCTTAGAGAGGGATGAAGTTAGGGCACTGGGGTAATAGTTAGAAGGATTAGAATGGTCACCCTTCTTCAGGGTGGGCTGATCTGAGGCATATTTCTAAGAAGAAGGAAAAGTTCGGGTTTTGAGGCAAAGGCGAAAGAGCCGAGGAAGCACAGGGGCCAGAATGTCAGCACACTCCCTCAGAACACGAGGGGGGTATTCTGTCCGGTCTATGCGCCTTACTCACATCCAACCTGGATAACACACCAGCAACCCTGTGAGTGGAGATTATAGGAAAGTGCATAGGTTCAGTAGGAGGAGCAGGAGGAATAGAGTTGGAATCATCTAAGGTGGAGTTAAAGGAGAATAAGGTGCCAAATAGATTTGCTTCATCAGTGAGAAAGTTGTCTATAGAGTTATCAGGTCGGAAAAGAGGGAGTGCAGAAGTTATCACAGATGTTTTTGGTTCAGGACCAGAAGGATTTACTAGATGAAGAGTTAGTCAGGTCAGCGGTCTTTCTTTTTATAAAATTCTGCTTGGCCCTATGAAGAATAGCCTTACAACGATTCCTAGAAGTAATGAAAGAGGAGCGGGTAACAGGAGAAGGAGATAGTTTCATAGCTCGATATGCCCTATCTCTCTCCCTACATGCAGGAGAACAGGAGCGATCAAACCATGATTGTAAAGTGAAAGTTTTGGTAGAAGATGTGATGAATGCACTCATACCACCGAGTATAACCCCAGCAATGCTGTCAGCACATACCGAGTAGAAAGGCAACATTCATCCCAGGGAAAGTCAGAGAAGAATTCTCGCAAGGATTGCCAGCTTGCCCTCCGATAGTGCCATAGTTGGCATTTAGATGGGGGTGGGGGAGGTGCCCATGCCCAGTTTGATTTAATAGAAATAATATTGTGATCAGAAGACTCTAAGGGGGCAGAAATTGAGTATGAATAGTGTGTGGGGTTAGAGTTGAAGCAAAGATCAAGAATGTTAAGCAGAAAGAACTTAGTGTACATATACTTTGATATCAGGTATCAATGAAAGCACTTATCTTGAAGTGGCACTGTGTAATTTTACTTTTGCATTTTGAACACTTGCACATCCTGTCAGCTAGACCATTTTGATAGATATACTCTTGGAAATGGCGACCTTGTCTATATGGCAGACTGGTGCCTGCACTATGGCATCTCAGTTACCCAGACAGATTAGAACATTTGCAGCTGCCTAGCTTGTACTATAGATGGGCAGGGGGTGACCTAATTGAAGTTTATAAATATCTCAGAGGGCACTACTCAGCCGAGTGTCCATAACTGGAGCTGGTGGATGCCCACCCCACTAGAGGTCACAGGTCAAGGTTCAAGAAGCCACAACCTGCCAGAGAGTGTTGTGAAGGCACCGAGTAGTAGCTCTTTCAAGGCCAGATTTGACCAACAATGGAGCAGGTACAGATTCATTCAGGAGCCAATGCATGTCCAGTAGCTGCTGACAGTGCGTAACAGAGACATGACCCACCACCCAAGCGGCTAACGAGGTGATAAGTGGCGAAGAGGACAGAGGTAGATAGTAAAAATATAAATCATTAATGACTATGTAACATGAACCATGTCTTACCTTTCTTCCCTACAGTTATATCTTACTTGGTTTAAATAGGTAAGGCTCAGTTTGTTCTGGTTGGTTCATATTGACTGCAGAAGCTATTAACTTCATAGCCATTTTGGATATTGGCCTTGGTTGATGTCATTTTATATAGCTACATGAGTTTAGTGGTGCACTCCTTTAATTTGTACACAGGTTAAAAAAAAATAAGTGCAATACTGTGAATCGAATTTCTTATGGAGAGCAAAGAAAGTCAACGAGTGTAAAGATGATGATGTACAGTTACTGTATTTTTATATAAAGTGTCGTGGTTGTGTAAACAGAACAGTACCCAGGGGAACTATTAGCAAAATCACTTATAACATAGAACATGAACCTAATAAAATTACCCTAACAGTCACCATTTATTTCTTGGTTGAGTAACGTTTTTTAATTTGTTTGTGTCATTAGTTGTTTTTGAATGATTTACATCCATGGTCCGTAATTACAGTTATGTGTACAGTAGCTAAAACAACTATCTGTGCAGGTGGGGGTCGACATGCTCCGAAATATTACGTGTGACTAGTGACAGCCCTCGTATACCCAAATTTATCATCCATGGTCTCATATTGTTTCCCACAAAGTATGCACAGATAGTTGTTTTAGCTACTGTACATGGCCACATCATTTAATATGTTTGTGGTGATATTATATTAGGTCTAAAATAATTATTTGTTTACATATGAAAGTCCATTTTTCAGTTTTCACACAAAGCCATACAGAAAAAGACTAGAGCAGAAGTAAGATGCCCTAACTAACTCTAGTCATTTATTGCAGCCTTGGCAGATAGACAATGGCTTCAGGGTATTCCCGTCTGAACGGCGAGCAAGGTGGTGGGGGCTCACAACGCTCGTATGGAACCACTAATCCAACCGTGGGATTTGCTCCTGCAGCAAATTCAGGAACGGAATTCTTTCAGGTGTGTATCTCTTGAGAAGGAGAAACTACTGTACATCACACTGTAAAAATAATCCAGTCCTAATAGTATGTAGTACAGGGTATGTATATTTTAATTCCTTTAACAGTACAGTATAGTATTTGACCAAATTATCATTACTATATACAGTACATTAAAGGAGATTGTCAACTGTTTTGATTTATTTTCAGATTCTTAAACATTTTGCATTAGATTTTATTTTTATTTATTTATTTTATTTTATTTATTTTTTTAACAAAGGATGATAAGTTGAAACATATTCACTAAATATCAATCCACTGTACTGTATTTACTGAAATTTCCCTTGTCGAGAGCATAAACAAGATAAGAAGAGAGTAAGTGGACGTGAATGTTAGGACTTGTGTTTTGAGAGATGAATGTTAGTGCCTGTGAGAGACTGCTTGTGTAAGTACTGCACAGGACCAGAAAAAACCCATTTTGGATTGCAGTGCCCCTTTTTTCTTAATTTCCTGATTCATTCATTTCTCCCTCCCTCCCATTTTCCTTGCACATCCATCTTTCCTTGTTCTTTTTTTCCTCCTCTTTCCTCTCACTTCTCTTTCCTCTCTCTCTTCTTCCTTTAGTGGTATGTGTTCAGTAATCCCCGACATCTCCAAAACGGAAAATGAATTAAATTGTTGTGATGCTGTACTTGTACAGTAGTTACTTCTTAAGAGTAGAGGAAGGTTGAGTACAAGAGGTAGTGGATTAATGAGTGAAAATTGGGCCTTCCGGCTTACTGTGTACAGTACTATCATCTAATGATTATTAAACACCCTGATACTGTACTAACATTTCGTAACCTCACCTAAACGTAACCACCCTAGGTAGTGTTAGGGTGTTTAAATACCAGATGAAATAAGTTAGGGCGCTAATCTTCAGGTGATCCCCTGTACCCCTCAAGTATGGGGTGCACCTGTCTTTTGCCTTGGGGATCTCTGGTACAAGCCCTGGTCACAACCTTCATCCAAGCTGACTTTATACTGTAATTAGGAAAGTGACTTGCCAATCAGTGCCACACTGCTGTCTTGTGTATTAAAGGCTTGGTGAAGAATCCTGTATACATTGACACTGATTAGGATCTGTGTTCAACATGTTGCTCAAGAATTTAAATATTTCTGTGAGCTGTGATCTGTCATGCCTTGTTTAGAGAGTTATCATTCCTCAAGCCTTTAACCCCTTGTGTATGAGCTTTCCTCTGAGCTGAATAAAATTGTCTGCCATTAGCCAAATAAAGTAATAAAAGTGGCATTCCTTTAGTCAAGGGGTGAAGTTTATGTAGGATAAGGAAGTGATTTATTTTTTGGAATCAATGTCAGTTCTCACATCCCCTCACTCCACCTCCCCCTTTATCCCTACTTCAGTCCTCCCTGGGTAATTTGTCCTTCCTTGATTAGCTGTTTCCTTGCATATTCACCATTCTCGGAATAACTATTTTAGTTTACCTATTAGTGATTGAAGTATATTTTGTTCCCAATTATGTTTCATGGAATAAGGATGCCATTTTTTTATATATATTTCAACTACTGTACTGTATTTTTCATAAGTTAGTATTGACCTACTGTGGGAAAAATTTCAGTTATGTGACAAGATTACGACACACCTCTTCACAATCAACAATGCCACCAGTACGTTGGAGCGATCACTGAAGCAAGTAGGGACGGCCTCCGACAGCCAGCAGCTACGAGACAGAATGTAGGTTTTGAATCGTTTTTAAGGCCGCTAATATCACCCTGTGTCTACTTTAATAACCATTCTATGTTAACTCCTGTTTTACCTTTTGCTCCCTGTTTGTAGGATGTCTCCCTCCACTCAAGCATGGTCCTTATACCCCCCCTCCCCACCTCACCTTTACTATCTCTATTCTCCTCTATATTTTTCACTTATTTATACACATTCAGCAACCCTCTCATCCTCACCAATTCCATCATCATCCTTATTTTATTGCAGAAGGAAAAATTTTATTCTCTACACTGTACTGTCATTATATTTCAGCTATTGCATTTGTCAAAAGTTGTTGAATTGTAGAACTGCTTTTCTCCTCTTTGTACAGTATTTTATTATTAAAGATGACCTCAAATCATTGTTACTGTTTGATTTATATTTGTAATAAAGATTTAATGGGTTACTTACATGTTTGTATGATGGTACAGTAACTGGAGTTGTCGTGTATTGCTTAGTATAGTTGTGAGGAAGAGGATAACTCGACTCTAGTTAACATTTATGCCTTGTACTGTACTGTATCTACTTGCCAGTTCCAGGGTAAATTGGCTTCTTAATTCTTTCAAAATGGAGACACCACTTAATATTTTATTTGTAATGCCAGATGATTTTTTTAAGCAAAAGAGAGAGAGAGAGAGAGAGAGAGAGAGAGAGAGAGAGAGAGAGAGAGAGAGTGCCCTGTACACAAGGATTAAGTCCACATTTTGCTGACTATTAATTGTATAACCTTGTATATTAAGTCTTACACCTATCTGTTTGTTTTAATTACCCAACAATATTGGCCATAACTGTCAGTGAAGGGAAAAAACCGATACAATAATGAGATTGATTCAGGAAGTCCATCTAAGTCAGCAGTGTTCAAAGGATCAAAGCTCTTAGGTCAAATTGTTTTTGAGAAATCACATTCATGAGTCAGGTGTATGGATGTATAGATAGATGGACAACATTTCCTGGTTCTCTCTTGTTATGCACTGGGAGATATAAACATTTATGCAGTACTGAACTGTACAGTATATGTATCCATGCTATGTATACTGTAATCTGATTTTATGTTACCTAATGCAGGAAAGAGCTGAAACAGAGATTAAGAATGAAACTTAATTTTGTGAATGCTTTAGTGCTGTACAGATCTCCTTTCATATTTTTTCTCTTGTGTGGAACCAGCACACAGATCAACAGCAGTGCAGGAGCATCAGTACAGGAGACGACTGGATTGCTGCGGACGCTTCAACCTCTGACACACGGCGACAAACAGAGGCGCATCCAGGCAGAGCGATTACATAATGAGTTCCAAGCAACTGCATCACGTTTTGCCGAAGCTCAAAAGGTATTGCATTTAAAACTCTTAAGAGACGGTGTTAATTTGGTATAGCGTATCTATTAAATGTTAAAACAACATAAATGCTTTTGAAGAATTGCTCTCTGATCCATCTCATATAGCTCCCTGCTACATCTTCACATGTCACCCAAGTAAGGATGTCATGATTTATATGTCTTTAGGTCTCAGGGATGATAATTGCCACAAATTTTCAAACAAACAACTTTTAATTAACCCGATGGTTACTATGGAAAATATTCTGCAGTACAGGTAATCGAATACCTAGTAAAAAACAAGGTGGATGATGCGCAAATGACATACAGTAAATCCTCGATAACTTAGAATTTCATATAACTCGAGTGGATTTGGTCTTGGGATGTATTAGTATAACTTGGGAAATGCTGAGATATGTAAAATTTTCTGGGAAAATCTCGGCATATCTGGCTACCTGCATCACCTACCATGCTTCGGTGTCACCTACCAGACCTCTGTGTCACCTACCAATACCATGCCTCTGTGTCACCTACCATGCCTCTGTGTCACCTACCATACCTCTGTGTATGCCTCTGTGTCACCTACCATGCCTCTGTGTCACCTACCATGCTTCTGTGTCACCTACCATACCTCTGTGTCACCTACCATGCTTCTGTGTCACCTACCATACCTCTGTGTCACCTACCATGCCTCTGTGTCACCTACTATGATGCTTCATTCTTCACCTGCAGTGCTGCTAAGTGTTAATTTTTTACATTTAGTGATTACATGTACACATATATGGGTTGATAATTTAATTTTTTACATTTAGTGATTACATGTACACATATATGGGTTGATAATTTTTTATTGTATTTTTGTAGGAGGGGGGAAGTGCCTCGATAAGTCGGAATTTGGGATAACTCGGCAAGGCCAGAGCCCCATATGTGCCGAATTATCGAGGGTTTACTGTACTTTCCATTTTTATCATATCTTATGTTAGAACAAGTAACAAACGAGGTCTGTCCGGAAAGTTTCCAGCCATTGTGAATATTGTGAGAACTGGTCGTGCGGCCTTGATTTAACTTGGCAGCCACTCAGACAGGACCATACTGCGCATGCATGAACAGCCACACTCTTGTGGGACAACTCAGTTGCCCAGCAGACGCCGTTGAGTGAGCGCGGGTACTGTGTGACCGTTGCATTCATAATGACTGAGCGAGTAGATCAGCGAATCTGCATCAAGTTTTGTTACAAACTTGAACATTCGTCCGCGGAAACTATTTGAATGATTAAGAAGGCTTTAGGGGATGATTCAATGAGTGAAGCCCAGATAAAATTGTGGTACAAACGCTTCAAAGATGGCCGGGAATCCGTTGAAAGTGATCCACGTTCTGGAAGGCCTTCAACAAGCAGAACACCCGAAAATGTTGAACGTGTGCGGGCTGCAATCAATGAAAATCGGCGATTGACAGTGCAAGAATTAGAAGAAGATCTAGGTATTCCACGGACTAGTGCTTCAGAGATTTTGACGCAGGATCTTGGCATGAAATGCGTGGCGGAAAAATTTGTTCCGCGGCTCCTGTCACGAGAGCAGAAGGAATTTCGTGCGGAAGTTGCAGAGGACTTGCTTCAAACTGCTAACAATGACCCACATTTCCTCAAACAGGTCATAGCCGGAGATGAGTCTTGGGTCTATGGCTATGACCCTGAAACAAAAGCCCAATCTTCCCAATGGAAGTCGCCTGCATCTCCACGTCCATAGAAGGCACGGCAAAGTCAGAGCAACGTCAAGGCCATGTCGACGGTGTTTTTTGATCATGAAGGTGTTGTCCACCACGAGTACGCTCCTCCAGGCCAAACAATAACGAAGGAGTACTACATCGAAGTTCTTCGCCGGCTGAGGGATGCAGTAAGAAGAAAACGACCGCAGCTGTGGGCAAGTGGTGACTGGCAGCTTCATCATGACAAGGCGCCTGCCCATTCTTCACGTCTCGTGCAGGGTTTTTTGGCAAAACATTGCATCACCCAGGTCTCTCAGTCCCCCTACAGCCCAGATTTGGCTCCCTGCGACTTCTGGCTTTTCTCAAAGCTAATATCGCCGTTGAAAGGGAGGAGATTTCAGACCATGGACGAGATTAAGGAGAATGCGACGAGGCAGCTGATGAAGATCCCGAAAGACGAAAGAGGACCTTGCAGACTGTTTTGAAAAGTGGAAGGGACGCTGGGAGAAGTGTGTGAGGTCCCAAGGGGAGTACTTTGAAGGGGACTAAGGTGCCATTCGTTCATTTTCTCCACATGCTCTAACCATCTTAGCCTGCCTCTATGCAGAACTTCACCAACACTTTCAATACCCAGTCACCATCTTAGCTTTCAAATGTGCCTCCAGTCTTTGTGTCACATTGCACACCCACATCACCATTGTCATTTCAGCTAACCCAAGACTGCATAAATCATCCTATTTAACTGCACATGCTTCACTCCCAAACATCATACTTCCCAAACCAGCCACATACAGCCTTCCTTTCACATGAAGGGAAGGTCCTCTTGCCACCAATAAATGTAACAAGAGGTCAAGAGGTGTATTAGTCTATAAGTGGAAGGGAGGAGAGCCAGCAACGGGCTAAGGGTGACATGGGGAGAAGTTGTAAGTGCCTGATGAGAAATTGCAAGTGACCGTAATCTCAGCTAACCCATGCAAGCGCTAAAGATATCCGTAAAATCATGATGATATTGATGATGATGTTAGGTTTATTACATATATACCCCATATGTTTCAAACTGTTGTAAAGTAGCTCGATAGATATGTACTGTACAGTCTAAGGTTTATGAAGGGCATTGTCAGAAGTTCTTGGGTTATAATTTTGATGTTGATGCTTCCAGAAAGTTGTAAGTACACTGAGGACTGCCCGGTTACCAGCAGATATGGTAGCAGTAGAACAAGACACCACTTCAGCTTCCACTGATGTCATGATTGCATCAGAACAAAAGAAACACCAACAAATGAAAGAAATTCAGGTGAGTCTTAATTACAATACAAAGCAACTGGGTACCATTGTTTTCACTCATTCATCTCCCCCCAGTGTTAAGCTAACAGTTATAGAGATAAGCATAATGACTTTACACTAATACTGAAAGTCACTCTTTATTTTTTGCCTTTCATTTTGTATTTATCTGTAATTTATGGGACCATTATCTAGAATGCTCCAAAAACTGGTAATGTCCTGGGATGAATTGTTTAAAATGAGCGCCAAGAATTTTCAAGCCAGGCAGGCAAATATCTAACTCAGCTATATGTTATGGTTACTGTATTTTTCAACTCCTCTTTTTACTTACTCATATACAAATACTGTATACACATAATCCTACATACAGAAAGTGCAAAACAAAAAAAGAGAGAAAACTATCATAAGGTATAAAGTTTTATGTATCTACGGGTTTCCACTGTGAAACCTTTTGGCGAGCATGTGGAAGTTGGAGGGTCCACGGTACAGAGCACCATTGCTAGGGAAGCCATCCAGGCAGTGTTCCGGTTGGGCTGGTTACTAAGGTGAGCATCGAGGTGCCCAACATCACAGAACTGCAGCGTAGTTTATACACTGATAACTTAATAATTTTTGCTCTTTTTGTGCTTTCATTATTAATATTTATATGCTTTTGCTATTGTTGTGTATATGTCTGTAATTACAGTGAAGAGGTAAAGTTACTTTTAGGGATGAATCTAGTGATCTGAACAGAGGCTTTGCAACCAGTTACAGAGAGTTTACTATACATTTAGTACATTGTAGGCTCGGCACTCCAAATTCTGGAAAAAAATAAAACCCTATCCGGTAACTCCCAGGTCCCAAGCATGCCAAACAAATGGTCCCATACCTGTGCTATCCAATAACCATTCATTTCTCCAACAAGATAAGTTCCAGCTGTGTGTGATGATGAATGATATTTTTCAGTCTAACTACGGTTATGTCCCTCAGATAAAGATGACTAGAAAGTACTGTACTGTATCAGAAAAATCCTGGTATATTGTGTTATTTTTTGCATATGGGATTAAAGAAGTTGTAAATAAGGCTTTCCATACACATTTATTTTAGAGGTACTGTATATATATCTTGATGGCAATCCTAAATTTTACTTTTGTGGGTAATGTTAGATATCCTCTCCTGGTTGCACTAGGACTTGTGGCTTGCCTTATGGTTCCAAAATGATTTTACCCATTTCTCAATTTTATGTCTATAATGCAGTACTGTACAGGTTGGTGTTACTGTAAATATAATTAGTATTTAACCTTCTCGAGCAGGGAATGGGTTTTAAGTTTCCGTGACAACGACAAAAGTCATATGGGACCACTCATGTAAGGTTTAGTCATCTTTGTTCTGTGAATAATTTATTCAACAAGAAGTTGATTTTTTTGTGTGTGATTTATACATCACTGGCTTCATTATTTTCATGGCTTTAACGTAAGTAAATAAATAAATAAATAAGACGAGAATAAGACTATTTTTCACTATGAATAAAGAAAAAATTGTGTTCCCAGCATCATGTCTCAGATATTTTTCACACACCTACCAAGGTATTATATATAATTGAAGAAGACGGAACTTTATGAGCTTTCCAACGGTGGCTTTAGAATTTTGATATGACTAATTGTGGGTAGGACAAGAGAGGGAATAAAGTGACATATGTGACCTACCAGCATAGCTGACAGGAGGAAATTGATGAACAGTGGAATTCCACCCACACTTTGGTACTTTCAGTAAGCTTTTCTCACAATATCCTGTATATGTCGGACTTAAATTTGACGCAATTAACTGGCGAATTTGATGTGATTTGCATCATAATATGTGAGAGGTTAGTCAGGGATGCTTTATGCTTTTCTTTGTTTGTTTTTTTACAACTAAGTAAACAAATACAGTGTACAGCACAAGTACTGTACACATATTGAACTGGTTTTAGATGTGTTTACCTGTCCAGTTGCTGGTGTTTTCTCCTAATGGTCAAAGTTTGGTTATATTGGTGTATCCAGTTATTGGTCATTGAATATCCATAGTAGTAAGTCTCTACTGTGCTTTCATTTAGTCTCATGCCACAATGCACTTGTTACTAACTGCCCATTCCATGACAGTAAACATCTTCCACAATTTTTTCCACTTACCCAGTGCCTGCTGGAAGGGCAAAAGTTCTGTTCACCAAAATACATTGTATACATAAAAATCTTTAAGTTACAAAAAAAAACCCACTCATTCTGACACTTACCGTAGTAATGCTTTAGAAATGATAATGAAAATTATAAGAGGACATTTTTATATTTTTTGGTCTGTCTGAGATACACTTTCATTTTTATTTAATGTTTAAACTTTTGACAGGATTTGGAGTTTGAATCAGCAATGCATCTGGAGAGGGAGCAGAGAGTACGTCAGCTGGAATCAGACATAATTGACATCAATGAAGTTATGCGTGACCTTTCCTCTATGGTTACTGCTCAAGGCGAGATTGTGGGTGAGTTACAGATAAAAGTTAGTACTGTACTGTAGTCTGTGACATAACAAGGAATTGAATTAGGTTGATTAGTGCTTTTACCGATCCTTCAGGCAGAGTATTTGTTATCTTCCCTGGGGGTGTTTAAAAATACAATATAGTGTGAATGTAGTACACTGTATTACATTATGATATGTGATGACTGGCACTTCTCTGATTCTGCCTCCTACTCATGTGTTGAGGTGATCTGTACTGGAAACCTGATGGACAGAGAGTATTTTAAGATGGGTTCATTGTCAAACACATTTCTTCCTCGGATACTCTTCAGGGAAAACGATCTTTAAGTTCTAGTTCAGCCCAAACATTGGCTCTACAGTCACAGCTGATGGTGAATTTTGTATATTTGAAGATCCATGGTACTCAGATTTGTCCATTTGTTCTTTACCGGTACCTCCTGATTTAGCTTTACATTTAAGTTTTACTGTTCAGTATTTACATTGATACCTTGAAACAGTATTAACATTTAGAACAAAGGTGGCTGGTGGGGAGGTTTGTATCATTGTGCTATACACTATTACTTGTATGTTTTGAAATCTGAAGAGTCTAAGGATTCCAAATATATAGGATTTGTGATTATATAGAAACAAATACAGGTACCAGACCATATATCTGGCCTCCAGGAAACCAGATTTACCTGAATACTGTTTTTTCTTTAACCTGATTAGTTTTGAAATTGGCGGGTTTAGCTGGCCAGTGGCCACATTGTTTTCCTATCGGTAACGCCACAGTGGCCGCAGTTTTAAACAGCCCATGACTCCGTGTACTTGCCTCTCTCTTCCATTTTGTTGTTATTTATCCAAATTTATTATCATTATCATCTATTAACTTGTCTTAAAGGCTAGCAGGAAGTCCACTTGCTAATGGAAAGCTCAAAGGAAAATTTTTTTGGCTCCAGCAACAATGCTTCGCCATAGTCTTTGCTTGTTTGTCATGATGGGTAATTCTCTCCAGTCTCTCTCACCAACATTTTTATGAGTGATTTGTGACAGTCTACTTACTGTCTAACCACAAGTACCCAAGAATGACATAGGAATAGTGTGAAGAGCAGCTAATATCATGTAAAGTAATCATTGTAAGTATTAACAGACCTCCCCCATAACACACATTGCCAGTGTTACGTGTAAAGAAACTATAAAGGTTGTAGAAAATCTTTTCACTACTCTAATGCAACCTAGAAATATAGAAAATCTAATATAAAACTGTAGAATAAGAAAAATGAAGAGCATGGGTGGGAAGTGAACGTTTGTGTGGAGGCAGTGGGTGGTTTGTCAACAGTGTGTCTGGCACGAAGAAATGTTTATTCCTTTCATGTTTTTGACCTTATGATAATTATTTTCTTTTTTTTTACACATTCTGTACAAACGATTGTGTGTGCATGTGTCAGTAAAAAACATGAAGAAAATTATGTATACAGTACAGAGTATATTCCCGAAATCACCTGCTACTGGGGTGCTAATCAGATATTATTCCTCGTTGTCCCTTGTTTAGCAATAATTTTGCTTAACATTAGGTTTTTCAGGAATGCATCCCCATTGTTAAATGAGGCATACCTGTATACTTATTTAGGTGTTGACGTTAATTAATGTTTTGATTTTTTGCACAATCTGTATGAACGATTAATAAAATTATGTATGTCTACCTGAAATTATGAGTAAAAAAATAACCGCTGTGAGTGCTAACTCTGATTGTTCAGGTTCTCGGGAATGGAACCTATTTCTCCCCACAAGTTATTTATATTGATGCGTGATCGATCACCCAACGATGTCGTTTTGAAGTCTCTAACCCCATTGTATAACTGTCAACAACTGTATACAGTAAATCTTTGCACAGAGTCAAAGGTTAATGAATGTCTTTTAAGAGCATTTGACCAAAAACAGGACAGTACAGTACATAGCTAGAAATAATGAAGATTTGGCAATTTTTATTTGCAGCATTTGTGATGACAATGTTAAGTCGAATTGGACTAATTTGGTAAATAGTGAAGTATTTGTTTACTATGCTGTTAAAACATCAAATTGACTTGCTTCACAATTTTGTCTGTTTCATCAGATTCCATAGAAGACAATGTGGAGAGTACCCATGGCCATGTAGAGGAGGGCCGAGATGAGTTGTTGAAGGCTGCGCGCTACCAGGTAAGAATATCGCTGGAATTCTATACCCTGGATAAGAAGTAGTGTGTGTAGGTGTGGGTGTGTGTGTGCCATTTACGTAGTGTTTAGTTTCCATACATGACACTGTTTTTCATTGACCCCCCTATGCTCTCCCCCTCCCCTGAAATGTCACAGTTTCCCTTAGTTTAGGAACCCCTGCTACAAGCTGTGCAGTACTAGCATTCTATAATAGTGATGAGACTTGTCATAAGGTCTTCAGTGTACTAAGATCTCAACAAGTCACTTATATTAGTCCTTGGCCATAAGTGGGTTGTCATACTTTTATCCTTCATATTTATTTTAAAGAAATTGCTGTACTTGTAATGATATTGTGTGTCTTTAGGTATTACATGGTTATATTTTCGTGCCTTTCAGAATAAAAGTCGGCGTCGCTTGTGCATCTGCATCATTATCCTAGGCATTGTGCTGGCCATCATTACCATTATCATTGTGCTTCACTTTACTAATCAGAAATAAGTACCGTAACTGACTTAAGGTATGTCAACTGGAATGGTTCTTTACTGTAGCAAAATCCTCTTATATTTTTAGTATTATTATATGCATTCCTTTTATAATTCTCAAGTTTTATCTTTATATCGTATGTGGAAACTGCTGTTGGTGGTTCAGTGCCCAAAGATAATAGATTTATGTAATTTCTAGTCAAGAGATCACTGGACTCTACCTGTACATACATTTGATGGGTGGTAGTTATGAGCATCTTTACATCACTCAAAGATGAATTATTATGTGGGTTCATTTATAATACAGTATATGGCTTAATTAAAGTTCAATAGTATGTGGTTCCAATTTTTTGGGCCGAGTGTATTGAATACTCCCAAGTTTAATATGTTTTTGAAAGTCAAGATGTATGTTTGTGTGACTCTGGCATTGTTTAATGGGTATGTATGTGGATGTTGCTCTCAGGAATACTGTAAGGGGTGTTTCAGTTCCCAATTGATTGAACCATTCATAGAAAACAGGCTTGTTACACCTGAAATATGCTCTAGGATGCTATGGGATGCATAACCTTAAAGGCTGGAGGATGGCACAAAATGGGAAGAAAAATAATCAACCAAGAATGAACTGCGTAAATTGAACATTTCTGTTTATCTAGTAGTGGTAATTTTGGTGAATTATAAGAAAAGAGAAATGTAATTTTTTTAGTGACATCCAATAAGGGAGACACAAGTCCCCTTCCTCCTCCCCCTAGTAAAATCTGTCATTATCATTTGTCTTTTACTGACAGGAAGGTTTATTTTTGTCACTTCATTAGAACAGTTTTAATATTACCCCCCAAAAAACAGTTTTGTGTGTTGAAAAATTATTGAAGGTAAAAGCCCACATATAAGATTATTAGCTCCTGCAGTCACTGTGATGCTCCCAACTATTCCTTACTTACAGTTTTTCTTTTATATATACCAGCTTGATCATATTATATATTAGCACACTGAGGAATTTGCTGAACACAGTATATATCATTTCATTATTTTTGCTTATGATGTATTTGCTGTAATTTGCATAATTTGTTATTATGTATACTGTACTGTATATATAACTCAATTTAATATACGTTTTGCTTTGTTTTTCCTTCAATATTTCATTGTCTGTGGTGTTTCTCTATGTTGTGATCAACATATATTTTATATGTATCCTCACATTTTCATCCACCTTGAGAAAAATAAGGTATGGAGTTATTGAGAGGCTTTTAAATAACAAAAGTATGGATGGAATTACCACATGTATAATATCTTTACTGTTAGTAAGGTGGGAAGAGATGAGTTTTGGCCAGAGGTCATTGATTGGTGCTGCATTGTGATGCTTTAGTTATACAGCACTTTAGTGTCAGTCAGGGTGCCAGCCACATGTTTGAAGTTGATGTCTATGTCACTCCATTCCAAATGTCTTCTCAGTACAGGTACTTAATTTAAATGTATTCAGGTGGAAGAAACAAGTGATTGCCAAAGGTAGCAATGAATATTAGATATGTGATCTGATTTATTCATGGAATCTTTGCATTTATAACCAAGTTGATACCTGTATCGGAAGAGACATTCTAATATGTTAAAATATAACTGTTGTTAGATATATTGCCCCCTTAATGGTGAAAATCTAATGTATGTTTATTTTATAGCCCCTAGGATTTTTATACAAGAATTATTCTGTGTGGAGCAATAGATATTTAGAGTCACGTGAAATGAGGTTAGAAAACCAATATAGCTGTGGCATATTCATTAATCGTGCCAGTACAGTAGTTATATATGCCACGTACCCACTTAATCTCAGAGAAGAGGTGGTCACGAAAAGAGAAAAGTTGATTTACGCTGATGCAGTATTAAGGTCACTAGTGACACCACCTGCAGAGTAGGAGGAAGCAATATTATTCTCTGAATTTTACTTGCAATTAGGAGTCTCCAAGATCATAGGAATACTACTCAGACTTCCTGTACTATGACTTATTATGACTTGTCAGAGTCAGGGGTGTTATGGATTTAAAAATATATACTGTACAGGTCCCAATATATTCATAACAATATTATAGCTTAGTAAGTGCAAGGTTGTGTTTTAACCTAATCTAACCTATGGAATGAACCCATTCATAACTCGGGGACTACCTCTATATACAGCCACTCCTCGACTTACTACCTACTCGACTTACGACCACCCGGACATACGACCGCCCCAGTCATACCAAAAAAATTTCAAATTACGTATTTTCGAGTCCTGACGTTAGTGACTGCGCTGTGTACTGACAAAATTTTCGTTTGTAATTCCCTTTAAAATGGCTGGCATGCTTAAAGGTGAGAGTTTTGTGGTGCTGAGAAGAAAAAGAGACACCCATTTTAGATTTTCTATGTATTATTTTCGCATTTTCGACTTACGACCTGGATTTGGGTCCCTAACCCCGTCGTAAGTCGAGGAGTGGCTGTATTGTTCTTTTCATACTGTAATGTAATAGCTTGCCACATTGCTTTTGTTTACACTGTGTCATCTCAAAAATGTATATACAAAATGGCATTAACTTTAGCTCGATGACATTGCACAATAAGAAAACTCAGTTTACCATTTAAAGTAGAATATGTGCTTCGTTTTTTTAAGAAATTAAAATACATCTTGGATATTGCCTCATGTATGGATAAAAAACTCTTGTGGTTTTTACAACATTACATAATACTGTTGTATAATGATTTTGTTAATTTTGCCAAATAAAAGATCTTTGGGCTCAGTGGTTGGCAAAGATCTTTTTATGATACCAGATAAAGAGTGTCTCTTAATATCATATCATGGATCTATATCTCTTTAGATTGATTATATATCTTTTGGCCCCACTCAGCCTGTAGGTTGTGAATGTAGAACACTTTTAATATCAGTGCTAGTTTTGGGACCTAGGAGCCTGAGCAACTTATTTGTGTATGATTTGATTAATATAAGAAGTCACTAAAAAATCGATTGTTAAATGGTGTTGAAGGTTTATTATTTATAGTTATTGCACCTGTTGCTTTCCTTGTTTTAGAGGGCAAAGTGAAGCTGAGAGAGAGAGAGAGAATTCCTTGCAACGAAATAGTGACCAGTGAAAACCCTGTTCTCACGCAGCAGCATTATTAATTATTATTATTACTACTACTACTGTACTGTATTATTATTATTATTATTATTATTATTACAATTTTTACATGGTCTTCTGTGTTGCCTAAGATCGCACCTAAAAAGCTGTTTTGAAATAGCCAGTCATCGAGTAAGTTGATATACGACGCCAGTAGGCCATAATGAAAACAACCTTGGTATATCAACCCCACTCATTCCTTTTTTATATACTGTATGGTAGTATAGTAGGTGTTAAATCAGTCTATGTATTTTTTCTTTCCCCACTGTGTTACCATAGTAGTGGAGGGGCCTTAAATATTATTATTGAAAATGAGGACATTTGAACCATTTGTCCATATCTCTGATGTCACTCTTCATCCACCTGTCCTTTCATCTGTTAAATCACTGTTCATCCACCTGTCCTTTCATCTGTTATATCAATGTTCATCCACCTGTCCTTTCATCTGTTATTTCACTTCATCCACCTGTCCTTTCATCTGTTATATCACTGTTCATCCACCTGTCCTTTCATCTGTTATATCACTGTTCATCCACCTGTCCTTTCATCTGTTATTTCACTTCATCCACCTGTCCTTTCATCTGTTAAATCACTGTTCATCCACCTGTCCTTTCATCTGTTATATCACTGTTCATCCACCTGTCCTTTCATCTGTTATATCACTGTTCATCCACCTGTCCTTTCATCTGTTATATCACTGTTCATCCACCTGTCCTTTCATCTGTTATATCACTGTTCATCCACCTGTCCTTTCTGTTATATCACTGTTCATCCACCTGTCCTTTCATCTGTTATATCAATGTTCATCCACCTGTCCTTTCATCTGTTATTTCATCCACCTGTCCTTTCATCTGTTATATCACTGTTCATCCACCTGTCCTTTCATCTGTTATATCACTGTTCATCCACCTGTCCTTTCATCTGTTATTTCACTTCATCCACCTGTCCTTTCATCTGTTAAATCACTGTTCATCCACCTGTCCTTTCATCTGTTATATCACTGTTCATCCACCTGTCCTTTCATCTGTTATATCACTGTTCATCCACCTGTCCTTTCATCTGTTATATCACTGTTCATCCACCTGTCCTTTCATCTGTTATATCACTGTTCATCCACCTGTCCTTTCATCTGTTATATCACTGTTCATCCACCTGTCCTTTCATCTGTTATATCACTGTTCATCCACCTGTCCTTTCATCTGTTATATCACTGTTCATCCACCTGTCCTTTCATCTGTTATATCACTGTTCATCCACCTGTCCTGTCCTTTCATCTGTTATTTCACTTCATCCACCTGTCCTTTCATCTGTTATATCACTGTTCATCCACCTGTCCTTTCATCTGTTATATCACTGTTCATCCACCTGTCCTTTCATCTGTTATTTCACTTCATCCACCTGTCCTTTCATCTGTTAAATCACTGTTCATCCACCTGTCCTTTCATCTGTTATATCACTGTTCATCCACCTGTCCTTTCATCTGTTATATCACTGTTCATCCACCTGTCCTTTCATCTGTTATATCACTGTTCATCCACCTGTCCTTTCATCTGTTATATCACTGTTCATCCACCTGTCCTTTCATCTGTTATATCACTGTTCATCCACCTGTCCTCATATCTCTATGACTTCCCCTACAGTTGTGTGTCCATACAAAGTGCTTCTGTTCAATAATGTAAGAAAGGCATCGCGAATCAAGGTCAAATTTGGCTTGCCACACCATATCATAAACAGCTGGGGTTAGGTTTAAGAATCAACAGTTTTCATCTTTGCTCATCTGTTAGGACTCCTGTTAGACCGGAGGCACACATCACCATCAGTCACTGTCTAGTTTGTGCCGTAATATATCTCCATGGTAACGTTGTGCATTCTCATACATCATCAAGACAGGTGACAGATGGAGGTCAAAACTCTGGTGAATTAAGGTGATAAACACTGATTTTAAAACTAGGATAGAATATTGATGGTATGGAGCTGTACGGTATATTAGATTTTATTTTCTTCCACAATATCTTTCATAAATTACAGAATTTAAGCGATTCATATTGATATACAAACATATTGACAGATTTAAAGACTAATAGACATATGAACAGATTAATGGATGGAGATAATCCTTTATATTGTATGACAGGTGATAATTTGTGATGCCAAAGACTTGAGGGCCATATATTGCTATGACAATGACACAGGGAATAAGGTAGACAAAAATATACCTGTACTGTATAAACAAAATTATGTCACCGTCATTCAATACTTCATGTGATATCTTATGTAAAGTAGCCAGTTGAAGTGAAGACAAGGAACTATTTTCACTTAAGCCTATCAATCCTGTTCTTAAGTTGTTACATGGGTACTCAGAACAGCTAATACAGTGACCCCTCCGTTAACGAACTCAATCCGTTCCAGAAGGTCGTTCGTTAACCGAAAAGTTCGTTAACCGAAACCATTGTTTCAATGGGTTTTTGGGTAATTGGTTCCAGCTCACCGAAAATTTCCTAAATTCAACAAAAATGGTAGAAAAGTTCACTTACTTTGAGGTGTGTATGTAGAAGGCTCCTGGATGATGATGATGGGATTTAGAATGGGGGTGGAGGAAAAGGAAGAAGAGAAGGCATTGGGGTGGAAGAGAAGTCACCCCATGGCACCATTTCACCCATAAAATTTTAGCTCTCTGGTGTAATTCAAGATTATTTTCTTTAAATCAACACTGCACTGCATTATATATTGTCAATATATAAAATATATTTCAAAATGACCAATAATTTGCTTGGAAACACAGAAAAAAAGCGTTTAGTTGAAGAGAGTCTCAAGCAAGATGTTACCTCCAGTGAAAACAGAGAGAGACTAACGCCTGTTTGCTGTGTTAAGAGGCTGGATGCCACGCATTAAACTAGTCACTTTACCTTCATTTATGTTCAATAATTGTTCAAATGACTAAAAAATTGAATATTAAACTTTTAAAATTATTGAATAGTATAAACGT